TTGAACCACCAGCCTTCTGGTTAGCAGTCAAGCGCTTTAGCCACTATGCTACCAGAGCTCCCTGATTTAGCATAGGGTTCTGCAAACTTTTTTTGCAAAGGGCCAAATAGTAAATAATTGACATTTAATGAGTCACACAGTCATAGTCACAACTACTCTGCAGTTGTAGGGCAAAAGCAGCATAAACAATATGTGAGCTAATGGGTGTGGCTGTGTTCCAATAAAGCGTTATTGACAAAAACGTTGGCAGTCAAAATTTGGCCAGCAGGTTGTAGTTGGCCAAGTCTAGCTTCAGAATGTTGAGTAACTGTAATTTGCATCTAATCTTGTGCCCAAGATTTGTGCTACTAATACAAAATTAGTAACAAAGCATGAAAATAAATACAAAATGTACACTTTATCACTATCTTGGAATCCTCTCCTTTTATTGACTGTCACCTTACTACCATTTACCAGAAACTCAAAACATAGGGCTCTCTTGATATTTAAACCTATGGACCTACTCAGAATATTTCTCTGCTGTGTACTACTAGGAGCTCTGGTGGCACAGTGGTTAAAGCATTGGGCTGCTAACCAAAAGTTTGAACCAAACCAAAGCGGTTTGAACACACCAGCCACTCCATGGGAGAAAGATGAGGCAGTCTACTTCTGTAAAGATTTACTGCCTTGGAAAGCCGATGGGGTAGTTCTGCTCTGTCCTACAGGGTTGCCATGAGTTGGAATCAACTTCATGGTAGTGGTTCCGTGTACCACTAATTTGTGGAGGAAATATCCATCTGATTCTTGAGCTGGTGGACTCCTATAAACCTTAGTGGCAAACCTGAGGGAAGCATGGCCGTATCATCTGGCTTCCTCGCTGACAGAAAGTGCCATTAGGTTTTGTGAGGGTTTTTTTTTTTTTTTTTTTTTTTTAGGGGGGCATTGGAAAATAAAAATCCATCTATGTTGCTTTTGAATAGATTTATTCCTCCATGCACTGATCAACTAGGTATAAATATACAACCCTACATGAAAAGTTTTTGCTTAAACTATTTCTGTTCAACTGAGTAGCTTTAATCAAGGATCCTGCCCTGGCCATCATTTCTGGCTTCCCTATAATCTCACAAAATGCATAATGAATGAAAGGCAAAGGGGTGAGACCATTTTCTAAGTGGATAAGATCCGAACATGGATATCACTCTTAGCGTTACAAGCTGTGACTGAGACGGAACTCATTACACAGCTGTGCTCTTTCTAATTCCCACTCTGCAACGCAAAGTGCCGAAATCTGTGGTGCTAAGAGTGATTACATCCCATCAGGCAGAAGCCCGTAACAGCCCACAATGCCCACCCTGGCTGCTCAGGGCAGCTTATCGCAACTGTCAGAATCATCACCCTTGCACAATGAGGACCAATGTCAGGCAGATGGTCTCCCGGGAAAGGAGAAGACCTACATGTGGCCAGCAATCAATCAATCTCTCGGTTCCCCCACAGTGTTAAGGAAAATAAAACTAAGCAAACGTTTCAGCCTTGGATGTGTCCTGCTGAGCTCAGTTACTGTGACTCCTTACTACAGTTCTTTGTCATACTCACTTGGAGGTGTTTTCAAGTATTCCTTTGACCTCATTCATTTGTTCTTTCCCAAAGTAAACAACAGTGAGATGAATTCGCCCATCCTGTTGGATGCACATCTCCCTAGAAAAACAAAACACATGTATGTCCGGTTCTTGTTCCCACACTAACAGGCAAGGCCAAACAAACCATTTTTTTATCAAGTGAAAAAGAGTCTTGTAGTAAACTTAGTGAGTGCCAGTACAGAAGAGCTGGGCCTTAGAGGCATTTCTAGTTGGTTACCATAGTTGCCTGTATTTATACTTATCAGGAAAACCTAAAATTAAAATGTACCCAACTGGTAAGTCAAAACTTAGATGCAAGGGGCCACAGGTCTGCCACATATGTATGTATATATACATACACACACACACACATACCTACACATCTACATATACCTAGATATATAGAGAGGTATGTGTGTAACAACAACGCCCATCTCTACATACCTACGCATCTCTCTCTGTGTTGTTGTTATTTTCTGTCAAGTTGGACCCGACTCATAGCGACCCCTCCTTGGTTTTCCAAGGCAATATCACTACGGAAGTAGATTGTCCCATCTTCCTTCTGAGGAGTGGTTGGTGGGTTTGAACCACACCCTTTTGGTTAGCAGTCAAGTGCCTTAGGCACTAGCCAAACCCACTGTCATCAAGTCAATTCCAACTCATGGTGACCTCCACTGGGTTTCCAAGGCTGTAAATCTATATGGAGGTAGACTGCCCCATCATCCTCCTGCAGAGCAGCTGGTGGTGGGTTTAAATTGCTGACCTCCTGGTTAGCAGCCAAATGCCTTGCCCACTATACCACCAGGGATAAGATACATATATAGATAAATACGGAAATATATGTATATATACATACACACACATATAAATTCAATGTGTTACCCTTCATATAATTTCTGCGCATATATATATGAAATACGTTATGTAAATGTATATATGTATATGTATGCATGTATATATATGTATACATGTATGTGTGTTTATAGGAGCTCTGGTAGCATAGTGCCTAAGGCACTTGACTGCTAACCAGAAGGCTGGCAGTTCAAACCCACCAGCCACTCCTTGGAAGGAAG